GCCAAATCCACTGCTGTCCCTTGGTCAGAAACCGATAATAACACGACGTCCCCTTGCCTGTCTTCATCACTGCAATTGCACATGTTGAGTTTTTAAGATGTACGAGAGCAAGATGGGATATGAAAATAGGAGTGGTTTACAAAACACACGAGGACAACAAACATGAGAGAGGTACCATATGCAAAGCTCTTAGAAGAATTCAAAATACCTTACTTGAACACAAAACACACAAAGGATGCAAAGCACAATAAATAAAAACAACTTGAGAATACAATAATACACAAGGAATACAAATAACATAAATAACAAAAGGAAAAAAGGAAACAAAACACATGGAAAACAGAAAATAATTGATATACAGATAATATACCGGAAGAACTGAAGAAGCATGAGGAATACAAAATGTACAAAGAGTATAAATTACACACGAAATATAAACTACAAATGGAATCAAAATACCTGAGAATTAAAACACACGTAAGGAAAAAGGAATGTATGAGAAATACAAAATATATAAGAATGTGCAGAAGAACAAAGGAAAAATAAGAGAAAAGAACACAAACAAGAGAGATGGAAAAAAGAAAAAAAAAACAGAAAAGAAAAAGAAAAAAAGAAAAAAAAACAAAAAACGTGTGTATATATATATATATATATATATATATATATATATATATATATATATATATATATATATATATATATATACAGTAAGTCCCCAACTTAAGAACATAATGGGGACCGAGAGGCTGTTTGTAAGTTGATTTGTTTGTATGTCGAAAGTCGGGTCTCCATTACCTTTTTTCCCTTTGTTTTAAAGTTTTGTTTACATTAAGAATACCTGTAAATAAATACCAATAAGTACAGCATACCTTATACAGTACCAGACTCTTGAACTATATTTGTTCCCGGGAAATTTGAAGTTTGCTAGCATCTTTCAAACAATTTTTTGGACTTAAGTACTTAAAAAATTTTGTTTGTATGTATGGAATGTTCATAAGTAGAATGCTCTTAAGTAGGGGACTATCTGTATATATATATATATATATATATATATATATATATATATATATATATATATATATATATATATATATATATATATATATATATATATATATATATATATATATATATATATATATATATATATATATATATATATATATATATATATATATATATATATATATAACAAGAAGAAGACGAAGAAAGACTAAGAGTAAACAAAGATAAAGAAAACGAAATGAAGAAGATAAAAAAAAAAAAAAGTCCTGCATAAAATACGTATACCAGAAACACAGCCTTCTTCCCGCTAGAGGCTTTTATCTACTCACATTGCTCGTGACATGACGCCACCTTCTCTAGGTCTTCCACGTGGTAGTAGTCATAGCCTGAAGTTCCTAACACTTCAAAGGGTAGATAGCCGATGATTGTTGGCGCTCTGCAGCAAAAATTATACGGTGAGCAAAAGTATAAAAAAATAATAATAAATAAAAAAAAAATAAAAAAAATAATAAAAATAAAATGGAAAATAAGAAATTTAAAAAGTAATAAAATAAACTAAAAAATAAGAATTTTAATAAAATAAAATGAAAAATTAATAAAATAAAATTTGAAAAAATAAAATTAAACAAAATAAAAAGTAAAAAATTAAGGATATACCCTTATGGATAGCTCTGCACACACAAATATACACTTTCATGCAAGCACACACACACATATAAATATGATACATATATACATACACATCTAATCTATATGCAAATACAAACAGATCTCTCTAATAACCAAACCTGAATGTAAACCCATTCCCCCCCCCCCGACCTTGAAAGACCTCTCTCCAAAACCAAAGCCTAAACCTGTATATAATAAGACCAACTTTCTCGCAAAGACCAATGGGGTTAAAATGAACATGTGCTCATTTCTGCAGACCAATTACCGGTTACAAACAGCCTCCGCAGATAAAGTTTTCCTAATTGCCCTGATGCCTTTAAATATCCCAGGATGATAAATTAACTTCAATTATTTCAAATAGCAGGATAATGATGTTTATTTACATTTAATAACTCCTTGTAATTAAGTAATTACTGTGGGGAAAATATCCTAAAGTTACTACAAAAATCAAACACAAAGTTGCTATTTCACACACACACACACACACACACACACACACACACACACACACACACACACACACACACACACACACACACACACACACACACACACACACACACACACACACACACACACACACGCACAGATGCACACACACACACACACATATGTATGCATGTATGTAAGTATGTAAGTATGTATGTATGTATGTATGTATGTATGTATGTATGTATGTATGTATCAAACACACACAAACACACACACACTCACACACACCACACACACACACACACAACACACACACACACGCAGCACACACGCCGACTACACATGCCACGCACGCCGCATGCACCACGCTCACACCACACATATGTATGCTGTATGTAAGTATGTAAGTATGTATTAGTATGTATGTAGTATGTATGTATGTATGTATGTATGTATGTATGTATGTATGTATGTTATTGTTATGTATGTAAGTATGTATATAGTATATATGTACATTTTAATATATATATATATATATATATATATATATATATATATATATATATATATATATATATATACACACACACAAATAAATAAAAATCCAGCTCTAAAAAAAATCCTTATGTCCACTTTTTCAATAAAAGAAAATTTACATTCACCATCCTTTATATACAAGAGATAATCAAAGTCCCCATATCATATAACAAGTAACATCTTCCATGCCTCTGTGAAAACCTACAAACTGCTTTCCAAAACCACCATAAATCACCTGAGAGAGAATATCGTCAAGCACACAAATAACCTGAGAGAACAAGTGGGAAAAAGAATACAAAATAGCACTCACACACACAACAATAGGCCTACCAAATGATTAAAAAAATGAATGCAAAAAAAATCTGCTCAGTGCCATCGCAAACCACTCAACTCTCACAGCCTCACCTGCCACGCACTCAGCACCCACTAACTCTCATACACTCACCACTCACACTCTCACCACCCTCCCCCAACTGACTCACCTGACTCACCACACTCACGCACCCAGCACCCTCCCCCACCTGACTCACTTGACTCACCACCCTCACGCACCCAGCACCCTCCCCCACCTGACTCACTTGACTCACCACCCTCACGCACCCAGCACCCTCCCCCACCTTCCTCACCTGACTCACCCACCTCACACTCACCACGCCAGACTCACCTGACTCACCCAACTCACACTCACCACGCCAGACTCACCTGACTCACCCACCTCACACTCACCACGCCTGACTCACCTGTGGTCGAGGAACAGGAATTTCCACTCTAAACTGTGTCTGGACGTGAACTCTGTCTTGCTGGGCTCAATGATCATCATTTCCCTCACCAGCTGCGGCCGCTCCATCCTCCCTATGGCGACGAACACTACCCTGGGGGGGAGGGGGGGATGAATGTGCTTTCAAGTATTCTTTTACAGGAAAATAAATATATACATGAATATATATATTTTTTTTCTCCCTAACGGTTTATACTTTTCTCTGCTTTTGAAAGAGGGAGATGGGGATTATGTGGTTTACGTTTTATTAACCTTATTGTAACAATACTATGATCGTGATAATCTTATTACCATATATATTTGTCTTCTTTTCTTCACTTTTTTTTTTTTTGGGGGGGGGGGGTTAAGCTTGTTTTCCATCATCTGTCTCTCTCCCCACTTACTTAACACCCATTATCTTTTTTTTGTTTTGTTTTTTTGTCTCCCCCCCCCCCGAGGGAATATAGTTTTAAAAGACTCCCCATCTCATTCCCCCACCCCCCCACCTCCTCCCCTTCCCTCCACCCCCCGCACTTACTTGGTGGACGATTCCTGCGGCAGCTGCGAGTGAAGCAAGGAGCTCTGGAAGAGGCCGCCGGCGCCGCTGCGGCTGCAGTTGCTCAGCGAAAGGGAGTCCTCTGCCTCGCTACAGCTAAAGTCCAGGACGCCGTCTGCGGGAGGGGGGGGGAGAGTGTTGGTTGGCGGACTATTTCGCATTTTGTAATTCAATGCTATTAGTATCATCATAATTATTAGCGGTACCATCATTAATTAGCCTTGTTCTTGTCGTCGCTGTCGTTGTTATTTGATAGGATGATGATTGATGATGATGGTGATGGCGGTAATGATTCCATCACCTATTGGGAATATCAGAAAACAATAACGATTTACGAATTTACGAATCCAAAGAATTAAAGATACCTATTGAAATTACAAAAAAAAAAATGTTATTGATGCTTTGTTATTTGCCGGAAGGTGAAAAAAAGATTGCATTGCCTTAAAAAAGAAGAAAACCACTATATATATACGTACACAGAGATAGATAAATAGATAGATAGATAGACACAGAGCCAGACAGAAAGTACACACACAGACACACACACACACACACACACACACACACACACACACACTCATATATATATATCAACAGAAGCTAATACCAATACACACACCACTTAATTTCTCAAACCACAAGCAGAGTACATCTACTAATCTCCTTACCTCCCTTAGATGTTATAGGAAACTTCGCCCCTAATCTTTTGCCCAATCCCCAATCGCAGACTCCCTCTCTCCCTCTCCCTCTCTCTCTCTCCCTCCCTCCCAATCACCGGCCCATTGCAACACGTTTCAGCACCCATGATTGCGCCCAATTACCTATTCACCATTGCTATATATACAGGAATGGGGGGGTGAGGGGGTGGGGGGGGGGGGAGATGAATGTGCTTTCAAGTATTCTTTTACAGGAAAATAAATATATACATGAATATATATATTTTTTTTCTCCCTAACGGTTTATACTTTTCTCTGCTTTTGAAAGAGGGAGATGGGGATTATGTGGTTTACGTTTTATTAACCTTATTGTAACAATACTATGATC